ATATACGGAAATTTTCGGTTCGGATACCGGATCTGGATATCCGAAGGTTTCCAACTATTCGCCAACCTTACTTTATTAGAGGGGGCTATTCTAATAGAGGAAATACGGTATATTTTTTTCGATTTTTCTATTAATACCAAAATTTTGCCTCGTACCTTGTACCAAAGCATGAGTTGGTTTATACGAAAACTTGTATCAAAAAGTCGCCGTTTTTCGGTGGCGGTTTCTTCTATGGGACAATTTTTCTAATAGTTTCGGTATCAGAGTAGGTAAAGCCTATAACCATGAATAACTAACAAGAGGCCCATGCCCAAAGCCATGCAATAACTAACAAAAGGCCCTTAATATTTATTAAAATTAATTTTAAACCACTTTTAAGCTCTAGAAGCAGGAAAAATGAATTTTGCTTTACTTCAAATTACAGAAAAACCAGCAATTATTTATTTAATTTATTTACACGAAAAGCATAAAAATATAGAAAAATACGGGGAGTATTTTGAAAAATATGAGGAGGACAAAAAGATTCAAGTTAAGATTAAAATTGCAATGGAAATGTTAAAAAAGAATAAATATTTTGACAATACTCAAATTTCTAATTTCATTCGGGTTATTTTTAAAATTTGGAATTTTCAAAAAATATATACCTAAGTTGAAGGATATTTTTTTAACTTAAACTGGTACTTTATTAATTGGTATCATAATGGCGCAAATCCATAACTTGCTTCAAGATTTCCGAATCTTTCAAAATTGGTACCAAAATTTATAAGGACCAGAAATTTTCCAGCATGTTATGGCTTTACGCCGTTATCCACGAAAATCTACAAAACACGAAACGAAAAATTTTCGTCCATTTCTACTCGGAATGGTCAAATTACCTTCTTTATAAATTTTAATTTTTACCCTTATATTTAAATACAGTTCTACCTTCTATGTAGGCCATATATTATGAATATAAAATTTATTTTGCAAGGGGATGACCCTTTTACCTTATTTAGCCTCTTTTCTGACTTTCTTGCCCCTTTTTGATCTTTCATGAAAAAGGAAGAAATTTGGTTTCTTACCAGTCTGGCCGTCATAAAAATTTTTTATTTTGAATCGAAACGGCATCTAAAATATCATTTCTGTCCAAAAAATGAGCAAAAGTCCAAAAATTTTCCTTTAGTGTTGATAATTTAAAAATCGAAAAATTAAAAAAAATTTTTTAGATAAACTACTGTATAGATCGTGTAAAGCAGAAAGGAGATGATACGACAGATACTAAATTCTTCAATGAAATTCTAGGGATAAATTTTTATTTTAATTGGGAGAAGTTCCGTTTGAGTGGTGAAACAGAAACTCCGGCCGGTGCCGAACTGTCGATTGACCCAACTCCGCTACAAAGCCTAAAAAGAAGTGAAAATCAAAGTGAAATGGAAGAGTCAGAAATTGAGGGTGGGCATAATGAAGGAAATGATGATGATAGTGGTGATGAAGGCGGTGATGAGAAAGAATCTGATGAAGAATCTGATGAGGATGATCAAGATGGACACCATAACACTCCACCATGGCGTCATCCATATTCGAGCTTCCCGCGACCAGAAGGGGGTGAGACCGTTCTTACAGAGCTGTTACTCATTTTCTCGGATTCATGACTTAATCTCATAAAGATGAGTCGGGAGACTTTAATTTCGGGTCATCCAAAATTCTCTTTATCTCTCTTTATCTGTAGACTAAGGTTTGCGGATCTGGATATCCGGATTCAAAAAAGGATGGATATCCGAAATTTTCGGTTCGGATATCGGATCCGGATATTTCCAGCTATTTTTTTCAGCTATTTCTAGCTATCCGCCAGCCTTACTGTAGATTGTAAAAATATTAATTTAAGGTTATCAATACCACCCAGGACAACTAGACTTCTATCCTCCAGGCCAGTCTGGGTACTACGCACCAGGACAATCAGGCAGTTCAAGTTCTCCACAATATTAAAATGCAAAAGTTTGCAATTATCGGATGACTAAGTAAAAAACACGATTGTAAAGGAGTTTTTTTGCGATTTTTGGGGTAGTTTTTAGATGTTAAATGGCATTATAATTTTTGTTTATATTAAACACTAAAGTCAATTTTTATTTTTAAAAAGACTTTCTTTGATTTCGTCTCTTATATCGAGGATTAATTGGGCCCCCACTTTTTTCTTATCGGTTTATCCGTTAACAGAGGTGAGTCGGAACAGTCGGAGGTGTCGGAAATAGGAAGAGCCGGAAATCGGAACTGGCTCAAAAGTCGGAATTGGGAAATCAAAAATTTTTTTCGGAAATCGAAAGGAAAAAACGTCGAAAATCGGAATTCCGACCCACCTCTGCCCGTTAACACTTTATGTTTTGGGTAATTTTTATTTTATACTCCAGTATTTAGATTTTAGACATATTTTAAATTTGTTATGTTAGGTTATCTTTAAATTATTTTTTTCAATTTGGTCTTCAAATATCGTATTTATTCTAATAAAACCACCTCTCTATTATATAGAGACCAGAACGGAACCCGGTCTCATTTCCATGTCCTTTCCCAGCGAGATTTCCGAAGCAGGTTCTGGATTCTGGATCCCCCTGATTTCTGTCAAGTTCCCTTTCATGGATTCCCGGTCCTGTTTTTTCAAAATACAAGTCCCTAATTTTCATTTTAACCATATTCTTTAACAAAACCTCACAAAATGGAGGTGGGTTCTGTTGGAGTAAATGCGGTACTTTATTTTTTAAAATTATTTACAATTACGATTATGATATAATCATTAGATAAAAGTAGCATTTTTTTTAAAAAATTTTTTTGTTATATTATTTTTTTAAATTTGGTGGGTTCTGTTAGAGTTCCATTCAACCAATGAAAGTTTGGTAGTCCATTCAAAGTCTATAAGTCCAATGAAGGTTTATGGGGTACTATCGCATATCCTGCATCATTTTATTTAATTTTCATCTCTCCAAATCTCCAAAAAAGTACACATAGGTCAAAGTGAGTTTATGCCCAGAATCACCAGTTTCGCAATTTAAACTAGGGTTGTACCCCGAACGCTCGGGGGCGGGTGTGTCGGGGTACGGGGTTTTCCAATTTTTTCGGGGCGGGGTTCGGGTCGGGGGAGCAAATTACGGTCGGGGTTCGGGTCGGGGTACGGGGATTTAAGGAAAAAATTTTTCAAAAATAAAATGTTCCAAAAATAATTTGTTCTCGTCAAATTTTCGTTAATTTATTCAAAAAAATAAAAATTCAAAAGATAAATTCAAAAATTAAAAAAATATTCAACAAATAATTACTTTTTATTGCCCAAAAAATTATTCATCCTCAGAATCAATTTCTTCCACGTCTTCCTCTTCATTATCAGTCAATGGGGCTAATTGGACCTTGTTTAAATTGCCTTTAATAATCAATATTTTCTGAACCATTTTCCCAGACAATCTAAATAGAATTATTTACACAAACAAAATAAAAATGAGCATATTTACCTATTGCGAAGATTGTTTGAATAAATAATACCAGCCTTAGAAAATAAACGTTCACTGCTTACAGATGTTGAGGGAATACAGTGGAGCATTTGAGCTAATCTTGTTAAAGTATTGAATTTGCATCCATTTAGGCGCCACCATAAAAAGATATCCCCGTTAATATCAATTCTTTTCTCTGCCTTGTACTGCGCCAATTCTACTTCAATTTTGGAAGTGAGATCGCTTTCAGTCTCCCCAGATATAGCCAACGGGACTGAAGGTGATTTAGGACCAGGTGACCAAATGTCATCTATTAATAATATTAACTATAGCCTATAAAATATATCAATAATTACATGTAATACTTTCACTTCCCCTTGATTCATCATCTTCAAATTCATTGTCTTGAAGTTCTGAAATAGCTAAGTCTGCCACTACTTCACGATTTGGTTCATTATCAAAAATAAATGCTATAATTTTATAAAAAATTTCCTTAAATATTTACAAACTTTTTGCAAGTGCAATTAATTGTTGCTCAACAATCTTCCAATTTTCTTGAGTAAACAAATTAGAGTCATAAGCGAATCGGGGGTCCAGGAGCATAGAAACACGCAATATTCGGTTAGAACATAATGTATGCACTCTATCAGTCATAGATCTAACTATAGCCTCTGCAATAGGTAGAATATTTTGCGGAAATTGATGTAAGTGCACAAAGTCTCTGAGTCGTTTTGTTGTAGAAATAACAGTCGATGCCGTTGATTTCTCTCTCGAAAACTTAAAAGAGTTAAATTAATCCGGTAGTAATTGATTAATATTTAACCTTCTCTGTCTCTCTATTAAAAATTTCAAGTAGTGGACATAAATTTTTCAAAAAATCAAAGTCGCTTTGGTCAATACTAGGTAACTCTTCGGGTATTAAATCAGTTCTTGATCTTTTTACATTACCAAAACCTCTTCTTGCTGCTTCAATTGCTAAAAGTACAGTTTTCTGTTCTTTAAACGCTTTGAACATTTTGTAAATGGAATTCCACCTTGTCGGTACCGACTAATTATTTACAATAATAGTTAGAATAAATTAAATCAGAGACATACCAATATTAACTGTTTGCTTGTTAAATTTTGTTCTGATTGCATGGATGCCAAAAGTTCGCGTCCCTTCCTTGTACGACAAAAAATAACCCAAGCTCGAACTTTAGCAGTTAGATCTTTTAATTCAGTCATTGAAACTACATCTCCCATAACCAAGTGTATAAAATGGGCAATACATTGAAAACTAGAATGTGAGGAAAAATTAAGGACTTATAAATTCAAACCTGTTTATTCCAAGAAGAGATGACGACCTTTTCATGTTACTAGCGTCGTCCCTTGTCAAGCAAATTAATTTATTCATTTGTAGGCCATTAGACTTAAGTGATTCTTCTATATATTTAGCTATATCAATACCAGAGTGACTTTCTATTGGAATTGCATCAAGAACAAAATCACCACGTTCAAAATTTGCATTCACATGGTGTATCGTTATACTTAATAAAATTATCCTAATTAATTTTAATCATAAGAAAACCTCAAAAGCGCAGGGGACTTAGTAATCTGACTCCATCCATCTGAAGTGATAGCATAATAATCATCACCTACATGTTGGGTAATTTTCTTTCTTATATTTAATGCCATTTTTGGTATAACATTTTTACGGAAATGTTGACGACCACGAAGCTTAATTTTATTATATATAATAGTCTTTATTATAGAAAATAAACCTCAAGTCTTGGATAAGCTAATTTAAAGAGCTTCTTCAATTCAGGGCTTTCAATAAAAAGGAAAGAGCAATTCTGCCTAATCATTAAATTTGCTATTTGTATATCAGCATCATCCTGTGAATCGGATTCAATAAATTTACAGATTGATGACTGGTTCTTCTATAAAATAACGTTTATTTATAAATAAAATAGGAAAAATACCAAAGCAACATCTTCCTGATTCATAAATTGACAATATTCCTTTTCATGCATAGACTTGAAATGGTCCCATAAACCCTTTGTTGACCCCTTATTGCAAGCCAAGGTTTTATCGCATATTAAACATTTTGCAGAATTTTCTGAAGTGCTTTTTTCAAAAAATTTCCATATATCTGACGTCTTTGGCATTAGAATTTTTGTTGAAAATTTTTATTTTTAATAAGTTTATCTAAATATTTGTTTTACATATTTTTACGTTAAGAATATTTAGAAACATTAAAAATAGAAAGACTTATTTGAGTATGGGCAGAACGCCAACATCGAAATAAATAATTTTTGTAATTTAGGTGGAAATTTTTTAAATTTTCTTCATTAATTTCTACCAAAAATGGCATTTTTTGGGTATATAAAACCCCGAAAACCCCGAAACTTTTTCGGTCGGGGAACGGGGTTTTCACTTTTTTTCGGGGCGGGGTTCGGGTCGGGGAGAATCGTGAAAAAATCGTTCGGGAACGGGGTCGGGGTTCGGGGTACGGGGTCGGGGTACAACTCTAATTTAAACCTATGCCAACGTTGTTGTGTGCGTAACTCCGACTTAGTGTTTAATGGTGTAGAGAGCTCTACTCAACATAGTTACCGGACCATAGTCTCTAAATACAGATCCAGGTTCATGCTGCCATAGGACGCTATAATCCTTTAATAGTATTTATGTTTCTGTGATTTAGAGAGCCCATTTTTTCTCGAGGTCTATTATAGGACCATAAACTTTTATGTTATTAATTTTCTTAAATTTGGGGTTTGTCTTAAAATAATTTGGGAATAGGGTAATATAAGAGCTCAAAAATCAAAGTTGTTTAATAGACATTGCCCTCATTTTTGGCATCAAATTTATCACTTTTTGTATCAATTTGTACTATTTTTTAATTTCACCTTTGCATTAAACCAGCTTCTTGTCTTTGCCGGAAATCGTAGTTTATGTAAGCCCTCAAAGAAAGCGGCAAAATCGCGTGTGATTTTTTCTTCCCATTATATTTTTCGTTGTAGAGTGATTGAGTGCTTGAGATTTGCTCTAGCTTAAGCTCTGAGCTCTTGCTTGAGTCTTTGCTTGAGCCCTTGCTTGAGCTCTTAAACAACAAAGAGAAAAGCAGCTTTTTTAATGTCTACATAAACCTACGATTTCCAATACAAAATGATACAAAAAATTGCAAAAATAAATGTAAAATGGCCATAAAGGCAATGACAGACGCTAAAAAATAATTTTTAATAAATCCCTCCCCTTTGCAAGCAACTTCTTCTTGGATTCATAAAGGCGGGGAAATTCGGCATAATCTCATTATTTTCCCACATTTTTATTTTCCTCAAGAAATTACATCTCTCACAATAACAGCCTGTTTTAATAGGATCGACCCCTAATAGGGGGTTTAGGGGGTTTAATGGGGGGTTTCGGGCCCCTAAACACTTTGAAGAAAACATGGGTTTCCAGGCTTTAGTGTAACCTAGCCTCGTCTCACTTAACAAATGTGAAGATCCTTCGAAGCACTCCTTATTATACAGTTGACTCTCGATATAAGGAACTCGTTCTAGAGGTTCGTTAAATCGAGTTTAATTGCATATATCAACGTTCGACTGTAAAATGAATGGGGGATAAACCTTTCTCAGGTAAAAAGGATGTCGGGTAAAAGGGATGTCGGGGATCAGAGTTAAGATTATCTTTCTACGTTTAAATTTCTTTAGAAAAAAATTTCTTAAAAAATGCATCTCTGGACAATTTTCTCTTTAATTATTTTATTGGTTATGGCCAATTTAATCATTGGAGGAAAAAGGGATGATAAAATAGCAAGGGATTACCAATTTTCTACCGGACATTCATCTAAAGGCTCTTTTGAGCGAAAGGTGGATAAAGCAATTGAAGGAACTAAAAACCTTGCTAAAATTTTTCAAAGGGGGCAAAGATAAAGGCGGTTAGCACGCTAAAAGGATTTGGAAAGGCTGTAAAACAAGTAGTGATTAAAAGAGGAGGTTGGAATTATTTAAGAATCATCCCTAGAGGTCTTTAGAAGGTCCTTAGAAAAGGGCAAAACTGGATCTAAACAAATTAAAAAACGTAACTTAAATTATGAGCCGTGTCTAGTAATGTTAGAATGATTCACCCAGCAGCATTTAAAACGCTTAGGCGGGGTTAAACGATCTAAAAAGGAAAAAGAGAAAGCATTAGTCGATACCCCGGTAGCTCAGAGGTAGAGCTCCTGCATATGATGAGCGAAAGCGCCTAGCAACAACTAGCAGGTGGTCGCAGGTTAATCCTGCCCGGTGGCTAAACTTTTGCAAACTCTTTCTGTAATGAGTGTAGCAATGGCATAACTCGGCCTTAGGGGTGACATTATACAGAGATTTGACTTTATTTTAAGATTATAAGAAGAAATATAACGAGAATCTCGAAGAGTTGGAAAGTATCTCCTCAGATGTTTATTTTAACAAACTGAATGAAATGAGAGCCCAAACAGAGCGAATAATCGAAGGATTTGAAGGATATTCAACGCATTTTAAAAATATAAAAAGGGCAATTCGTAAATTGAAATCAAATAAAGAGGCTAAAGTTGAAATATACAAAAGCATAGAAAAACTGTTTTTGAATGAAAAATTGAAGGTTGATGAAACTGAGGATTTTAAATTAATCGTTGAAGCAATTTCGGAGTATCATAACGCCGAAGAAATTTCATATCGACAGGTCAACCTATTAATTCTATTTACTGGGCTAAGTAATGGTTGTTATGTGAATAGATAGATGGGAGTGCTGTTTCGACTTTTGATTTCAGCTTTGTATACGCTCAGCCTTATGCTCGATCAGGCGGTATACCGAAACCATTAACCTTACTTAGCGCTAGCACCTCTAGGATTTAAACATCTTCCACCTTCAATTCCGAATTCTTAAATAGGCAGGGCCCCTATTTAACCTTACATTAGTGTTTTGTCTTTTGCCTTTCATTCTTCTCCATTCCAGGCACACACCTGTTAAGGAGACTAAAAATAGTAAAATAGTGTTTACGTAGGCCAGACTTCGAATTCCGTCATAATATAAGGCTGAAAGGCTTATAAGCCGAAAGAAAATAAGGAGAAGCAGCTTAGTTGATGTTCATTCCAACTTTATAATCAATCACGGCTTAGTGTTCGGTCAGCTAAGAACCTGGCCAAGTGGTTAACCAATATCATTCACCCCGCTCGCTCGCGTTACCTTCAAAGTGAAAGAAGCATGCGACCCATCCACAATTTTTCCACAGCATGAATATCGTATACAATAATACCCCTATTTTGTTACTAAAAGAGTTTTGGATGATATACCGTTAGTAGTTCCCATTTGGATACTTTTACGAGTGTTGGGGGGGGGGGTAATTATTTTTTCAACCTCTCGATAGAGACGGGTTGCTTAATCGGGGAGGGGAATGATTTAAAGGGGCGGATGGGGCAATTGACGGAACGGGCCAGTTGAGCGTGGCCGGTTGAGCGTCAGCCAACTTTAATCGGCTATAACTTTTTTCCGTTTGATTAAATACTAATGAATCATATATCATTCGAAAGCCCTCGTTAAGCGCTATATTTGTTTCAATTGGATGGATCATGATTGATCGCTATTTAAAAAGTTACAAGTCAATAAGTGTGAAAAACAACGATTTTCTGCACTTATCGACTTATAACCTTTTAACCGGGATCAGACTTGATCCATCCAGTTGGGATAAAGATTGGACTCATCGAGGGCTTTCGAATGATATATGATTCATTCGTATTGGATCAAGCAGCAAAAAGTTATAGCCGTTCAAAGGTCGGCTCACGCTCAACCGGCCACGCTCAACTGACCCCAACCGGGCAATTGAGAACAACTGAGTCAAAGGGCAAGAATGCAGGGGATACTACAAAAAACTTGTATTAAAAAAATTAAAGGAATGGAATATTAATTTCTTGTGAAACTGTTAATCCACAAAGATTACCTCAAATGCAAGAAGATAGATTAAGCATGAGAAACATTCGAGAAGAATATAGAAAATATTATACAAGTGTATATTACGCAAGTAAAATTACTGGAAGTGGAATACAAAAACATATTTTTCTTCGTGGAATGGACTATCTAGACGAAGCTGGTAAGACATTGTAAAGCATATATGAGTACTAAGGCTGTTACTACTTACTTCCTAAGGCTGTGCAGTAGGCGGCGTGGTGTAATGGGTAAACACATCAGTCCGTTCTACTGAAGATGCTGGTTCGCTCCCAGTCGCCTAAAATCCTTTTGCACTAGCTGAAGGAGAGATGTAGCTATAGCCCAGCTGATTTACTAAAGTACCTCCCCGGCATATATAACTATTGTATACGATATTCATGCTGTGGAAAAATTGTTTGGATGGGAGATGGATTTGAACCATCATAGAATGAGCCCAGACCGAAGCACAACCGATTGTGTCACCATCCAACCCGATGATGGGTTATTTATTTTCATTTATGTTCTTTCTGCAAGTGCGGACACAACAATAACACGTACTCCCGTGTCAATTTGGTTCCGAGAATCATTTTAGGTTTTTACTGGATTGCAGCTAATAAAATTTTTTTAAATTGCGGACGGCCCTGGTTTAACCCGTTTTGACACCCTCATAATTAGAGTTGTTCTCCGTCCCCGAAAGTAATATATTTAACTCTAGATGACCATACAAGTTCAAGAGAAAGAAAACTTAGTGATACAGCGAGAAAGTTTATTCAAACTGTGAAGGGTGTACCCTCGAAAACAACTGTAGAACTAGAAAATATTAAAAGAAATATAGAGCCGATATGGAAGGATATAGCTGCAAAGCATAATAAAATTATTAAATTTTATAAGGTTATTTTATTAAATTATATATCCGCCCAGGAAATACCAGGAGTAAAAATGGGAATGATCCTCCTATCTTTCTATCCCCTTGACTCTCTTCTAGATCTTCTTGTGTTCCCCCTAATCCTTCCAGATACCTGATTAAACTTGAAAAGAAATAAAAATAAGAAACCGTTGATAAAATGGTTTAGGCCTTCAGGGTTGACCTAGGAACTTGGTTCGGAGATCTCTCCAATTTAAGCCACATATTTTGTAGGGATAAGGGAGTGCCGTCCCAACCCCTTCCTTTCCCTTACAAAGGGTTAGTCATGCCCTCTGACTTCCCGTTTGAAGTTTC